AGTCATTACCGGTCCATAACTGGAGGGTACGGAGTAAGCTGGACTGTTCGATGGTCCATTCAGGTCGGTTACAGCAGTATACCGACTGAGTAGTAGGTACATTGCTACCTTAGCACTAGTAGTAGGATTGGGGACTTACGTTTCTATCCAGAATCTAGGTATCACCATCAGGCTATCATCAGGTCTTGTCCCTGCTTGAATAGCTCCACCAAATACTGTAATTGTCCTAGGAGCCTTGGGTACCTGGATCATTCTGCTGATCTGTTCTTTAAGGTACTTCTTCCCCCTCCTCTTCTTCATCCTCGTCTATCTGTCTATGTATCTACCCCTCGCTCGGCCGCCATCCCACGCCGACCGTTGTTTCCGATAAGCCTCCATTTAAACGACTCGATAACTGGCATAGAGACTGAATCTTGAAGGCTCTGGCTAGCTACCTAGTAAGTGTATCATCGTCACCATTTTATCCCACCGACCCTATTTTGCATTTGTCTGGAACCTGGGGGCGCGGTGGTGGGTTACCGTCATCCAAACATCCTGCTACCAGATCTCTCTCTCCCCTTCCGATCACTTCCTCTTATTTTGACTTGTCGCATCTTGCTGACCGTCCTGCAGTCTCGACTCCTCCCTCTCGAGTTACCCTTTCTGATCTATCTTCCTTTTTCCATCATTGCTTTTGCCTCCCTTTGCCTTATTTTTTTAGTCACCCTATTATTCTCATCTTTCCCCCTGGTCGTCGCGGCTCCATCCGTTCCTTGTAGGTACTTCAGCCGCTTACTACATTTCGCCTCCTCAGCTTCTTCCTCTTTTGATCATTAATACCTAATCTATTCTTCGCTTTCAGATAATCAAATATTGACTTCTTATTGTTCTTACTTAACGGACCGTGCATCTAAGGCGAGGAATCCGCGCCCAGTCTCCCATTTCCTGGATCAGTTTCATCGGCTTTCCGAGCTGTCTTAAACAAACCCACAACCAAAGGACTCGAAACCGCACGAGCGGTTCAGCTTGGGAAAGTTGATCGACCGAGTCCACCAAACTTCCTTCTGAGCTCCTTGCCCCAACCCGCCCTTTCCTCCATCTTCCTTATCCTCTCTTTCCCGTCATCTTCATCCTCCTCATCGGTATATACTTCTTTTACCTTCCTTTGGTCCATCTTCGAGAGATGCTACCGCTCAACGGATGACTGCGCCTCTCTCGTACAAACTCACTACCCTTGCTTCGTCATCCTCGTCAGGTACTCGGATAGACGGGCATCTTCCACATTCCTCCTACATTCCAGGCTCCCCTCTTTTGAGCTAGCAATTCAGTACGTAGCGGCTCTTTTCTTGTTCTCCTCCCCCTCCTTCCCTTGTATGTGGACCCGGTGGGCAAAAAAAAGTCATACCCCTCTTGGACACCGTCCCCTTTGGCCGAGATTGACACACTCGTCGTTACATCTTTGCGACGGCGATGAATTTGCTGACATTTGTATGCGCAACCTACCCAGTCGCCATTACGCGCTATAGTTACTGCGCCATTTAACCGTTCTCATCGAATCCTCGCGTTCTTTTTATATCAAATACTACGTCTTATAATCGTGGGAGGATAAGATTTCGTCAGAGCTCGTTTTCTCTTCCTAGGGCGGAAGCCACACCGTCGCCGACCTCTTCGTCGCCGTCAACATGACTTCCTTCTTACCAGTAAATAATACGTCTTCACCGCAAACTCGGGCCATGGAGGAGGCAGCAACTCCAACCACACCTCGACCCCATACGAATGTGTCAGCTACAGAAGAGCACAGGTCGCGAACTATGAACAGTGGCACAGAAGACGCAACTCCGCGCAACGTGCATAAGATCCAAGACGACTCGGCTTCTCGAACAAAACCGTCATTAGGACACAATGGAACTTCGCATGGGGAATCCGATGCAGACCGTGATGGCTCCGATCATGAGTCCGACGCCGGAGGCAACGCCCCTCCATCAAAGAAGAAAAAAGGGCAACGGTTCTATTGCACAGATTTCCCGCCATGCAACTTGAGTTTTACCAGAAGCGAGCATCTTGCCAGACACATCAGGAAGCACACTGGGGAGCGTCCGTTTCAATGTCACTGTTCCAGGCGGTTTTCACGCCTTGATAACCTTCGTCAACATGCGCAGACCGTGCATGTGAACGAGGAGATTCCTGGGGATTCGCTTGCAGCTACTGGAACACGTTTCCAACGGCAGATTCGCACCGACAGGGTCCGTCCTCAAGGTCGAGCTAGAGCCGGCACGGGGGGTAGTCAGGGAACGCATAGTCGGGGCCACAGCAGAAATCTCTCGACTTCGAGTATCGCGTCGACGGCATCAACGTACAGTCAACCTCCGGAGCTTCGCCGTCGACCGCCGCCATTAATCATGGCCAATGATGGGAGCGCCAGGGCTCGTCTTAGTCTGGATACGATGGCAGATATCCCCACAACTCCACCAGGCCAAGTGCGCGGCATCCCAGGACCTACCGTTGTAGTTGGCTCCCCTTACACACCTTCTCATCATCTTTTTGCTGCTGGTGGCAACGGAAGTCCTCACTTAGCTTCGGCGAGGCCCTCCGCCGCCCACATGTCGGGATTCTGGGACGGCAAGACGGCAGCTCGTCGTCTCTCAGTGCCCACCAGTGCGAATCCCTTCTCGTCTCAACAACCGAACAATTATCCTCCCAGCCTTGTCGGGTCGGCAACTCCTACAACGGCAGCATATCCGCCGCCGGGCGGAGTTTTTGCAAGCCCAGTCAGCTCCACTCATTCGTTTTCGAGAGAAGAAAATGCGTACAGTGCTGCTGATGCCGACCTGCGGAGACGGACCTGGCATCCTTCAACTCACTTTGCACTTCCCAGACCTGCCACCAGTGGATTGTCCCATTACCAAACTCCTGATACCGTTGACGCACCGGTCAGCGCAAGTGGCGCGACAGAACAGCCCCCAGATTGCCGGGAATCGAAAGTTTCGACAAGGTTGTGTTACACCAGCGGCCTCTGACTCCCCCCGTCCGAAGGCCTAGTCCGATGCAGATTGACAGCCACAGCAAGCCATCGCCGAGTTATGCTTTAGGAGGAGGTTTCAATTATTCGCAGCCCGCGAACCGACCGGCCCCTCCGATATCTGGGCCCGGTCATCGCCGCGGTCATGTCTCCTGGGATATGTCACTACATACCAATCTCACAGGACTGCATATCAGGGACAAGCCTCTTCCCAGAGACGCATCACACTGGAGTCAGCAGACGATTGCAGAGCTACAGAATGTGTCGTCCCGGCCGTCTTCGTCGTATCAACAACAAGTTCAGGAGTCGCGGGGAATTACTGGGCATTCTCCGTATGAGAAGATGCAGGGGTGGTATGGCAGCCATACCTCGGGTTCCCAGGCGACGCGGACATCTCCTGAAGACTCGAGTAGCAGTGAAGGCGTTCACACACCCTCTACAGCATCACTCGAGTACCACCCAGCCATTGTGCACAACAACGGCTACATCGAGTCCCATCCACCTTCCATGACCTGCGATACATCTCACTCAGTACGCCCCCGTTTCCTGGACATTCGATGATCGGCCACAGTCGCTAATGTACAATACAGGCTTGCCCCCCGCTCTCGCAGTTTCCTGATGGCTATCAGCACAATGTGAAACCCGATCCACGACCGGATTTCTATCACAATGCGTCCGCACGGGACTCTGGGATGGGAAGGCTCGAGGCACTTGTTGCAGTCGCCACGAGCGAAAATAAAAATACTGCAAAGTTATACGGATGAAGACCGTCCACAGCTTTCGTATGTTATCCGGCCAGATAGGGTCTACTTTGATGTCGCGACTATGTCTCCCTCGGTTTATCCTTGAAATATTTGACCATCCTGCCGATTTAACCCGAATATTTTGAACTTTGCACTTTTGCACCTACGGATCCGTATCAACGCGGAGACGTTTATGAAGTGACGACTGATGATTCATGCATGGGTTTTTTTGTCTTTGAATTTGATCGCTGTGGAGGCCTGCTCTTTCAGATAGCAAGGACTCGTTCGGGTATTCTCGAGTGATCTGTAGCTTGCGGTGATGTTGTTTTTGCATGTTCCGGCGTTGATTGGGGGATAGTGTGTTCTCTATGGCATGAAGATACCCTCGGCCTCGATCTCGGATATAGCTACTATGAAAGCGGGGGTTTTCCTACTCGGGTCGCGGTGGAATTTCACCTACTGAATTGTTTGATATACTTTATCTTCTGTCACTGCACTCCTGTGATACGATTCGATTCTGTTTTAGTATATTTGTTGTGCGTCTATAAGAGACTGGGTATAGCCATTGCAATCTTGCAATCTGAGCGGGATAAACTATTTTTAATGAAACTGTTACTAAATCGGATGATGTGCCATGTCCTGTTGGCTGGGCATGAGCTCACGGATACATGACGTCTACCCCACATGTTACACTCGACGACGTCAAAACCACAAGTACCAAGCGGGTAGGGGTACATTTTCTGGCCATCCCTATGAGACGCTCTCCGTAAGATGATCATCAGGTGACGTCGATGGCAAGGTATTCTCATCGTGGTGCACATTACCCCAGATGCAATAGATATCAGTATAGACACCGAACTATCAACAGTGGCTGATTAACTCTGACCGCATGAAGATAACTCTAGCCAATTAATCACCTAGCTACCACCGAGATGGCATTGAATTTAATTAAAATTCAAAGAAAAAGGGAAAAGTATTCGAATTGGAGAGGAGTACGGGGTGCAGGACTGTGAGCTGACAGTAAGCTAGAGACCTAGCTAAGGTAGTATCTCGTCGACAACGTCATAGGCAGCCCAGCCCAGCCAGCCCAGCCAGCCCAGTGACCATGGCCATTTCTCCGCCCATACTTCACTCCCTGACCTTGGTTGCTAGCTCTCTTGCGTTTCTTTTGCCTCTTATTTACTTCAAGTCTCTTCTTTCTCTTTGACTGGAAAGCTATTCCACAACAAGAATACCTCTATACTCGGATTCCAACTCAACTGAAGACACATCCTCAATTCACACTCACCCACCATGTCCAAGAGCCGTACACCCATGTACCTTGGCCTGGCCGCTGCTGGCGGTCTAGGTTACTACATGTATCGGGCCGGCGGGAATCCCCAGGTCGCGAAGAAGGAGATGGAGAGTGAGTTTCCTCTTTAGGAGGTTCTGGGTGATAGTATATGCGTAGGTTCGCTAATGACTGTTGCTTCCAGTCGACGCCCACAAAGCCAGAGCAAAGATCCCCCGCGGCTCAGAAGCCGCCAGAGTCGGCGAGGAATTCGGCAAGGAGGCGAATGCCACTGGTGACGAGGCGGTAAGCTCACTAGCTACATGAAACTAGTACCGAGCGACTAGAGATGCTGATGTGTTATCGGTAGATCAACAACGCCCGCACCAAGGCCAAGGTGGACGAGCGCATCCCCGAGATCGCCCAGAATGGCAAGCACAAGCTTGACTCGCTGCGTTACCAGGCGGCGGATAAAGTCCGTGCTGGAGTTGACGAGGTGGACAAGAAGGTTGATCAGTTTGATCGCACGGTTGAGAAGAAGGCGGGTGAGGCGAAGGGGACTTTGTCGGGTTGGTTTGGAGGGAAGTAAGCTAGTCTTCGCTTACCTGCTTCGCCTAAGGTACTTTGGGCTTGCAGTGATGCATTCAAGTTGGATTTCGAATGGGGTCTGGCTCAGACCTGGGATGACGTTACGATTTGGGAGATGGGAATGATGTACTCCGTACTCTCCGTACTTTGATGGATAATCACTTTGTCGGTTGCAGCAGCAAACTTGATATAATGAACTTTATGATAACTTGCATCTCCGATTAGACGAGAATGGGGGTCGTTCGATAAGAGAGATAGGCTTGGATAAGATTGGTGATCTGCATGCTCGCGTGGAATGTGACATTCCATGTTGGTATTACTGTAGTGATCGAGTGGATGCCGTTGTATGGATGCTATGATTTTGCACCGCAAGTGAATTTGTCTTCGAAAACTACATATATCTTGTGTTCCAGTATCAACAGATCAATCTTGAATGAAAATAAGCAGGACAGAATTATCCCCAGTGATCTACGGAGTAATATAGCCGCATTCGGCACCGTCACGCTAACACGCGCCTCGACGCGTTCGCGCTCCGCTAAGAAAAACTAACCGTCAGCGATCTCCATCGTCAAGTCCCCTTCGACCCATACACAGAGCTATATTCAATTGGAAACACCCCACTGGTAGTTTACTATTTTGCATACCTACCTTACCTTCCTAATATTTACATATGCTCCTACCTTACTATCATATATTTTAATCCCACCGTTAGTACAAGGGAAACCGCGATGCCGCGCACCTCCTCAAGACAGACCCGCCTTCCCCGAGGGCAGGTCGGCATCCAGAGCTTCGCAAGAGCGACCAAACCAGGCTCCTCAACGCTGCAAGACACCAAACAAGCAGCTGCTGCCCAGCTCCCCGTCTCGCCTTCCAAGAAGAGGAAACTCAATGAGCTTGAAAATGTCGACTGCACCGCAGGAGAGCCCAGCCAGACCACCATCCCGGAAGAAGCAGGCACGCCTTCCAAAACCCTTCGTTTCAGCCAATTGTCTGTCTCTACGCCCCGGAGCGGTCACTATGCGTGTTCGAAACCTGAGGCGTCGCCTGCGCCTGCGCCGCCTTCCTCCCCTTCGAAGCGTGGCGGTACCAGAGCCAAACGTTCCAGCTGTCCGATTGTCGTGGAGCGTCCGGCTTGTGTGGAGGAATTCTTGGGGCTGCATTCGGCGTTTCTGAAGGCGCTGGCGATTCACTCTGCGCATAACGGGGCAACGACTGCGGCGGATCTACGAGAGTTTCTTCATGCGGTCGAGCGAGTGTGGAAGAAACGGAAGGTTGTGGTTAAGGATCTACAGCGGTTGATATGGGCTTGGGAGCAGGGAGAAGAGGGCAACGGTCCGAAGTACAGGCTTGCGAATTACGGGCTTGGAAAGGTGTGTTTGGAGCGGGTGGCTGTCAATAGAGAACGGGTGGACCGGTTCGATGAAAAGGAATTACACGAGCGGTTCGAGCGGGTTGTGGACCTGCTGTGGGAGAAGGCTGTGGATGCGGTTAATGGTGACGAGAGCCGGGTGGATTTCTTCGAGACGCTGGGCGTTTCCCCCGTGCACGAGTCTCTTACTCCGTTCACGGCATTTCGAAAGGGCCAGCAGCGGCTGCAGGATTTGAAGGGCGGAGTTATCAAGTTGAAGACGGAGAAGCTGCGAGCTGATTCGCAGCCTGAGGTCCCGGCCAAGCCGCTGGATGCGACGACCACACGCCGGAAGGGGCTTCTAGAGCGGATCAAGAGCAAGGAACTGCTCCAGTCCAAGCTGCCGCCCCCGCCGTCGAAGGAAACGCTGCTTCGGCGCGCGGCTGCTGAACGCGCTGAGGAAGTCGTCGCCGTTTTGGCCTTGCTTCGGCCAGTTGGCTATGTGGGCAGCGGGCCGAAAGCTGTTTTGGCTGCCCAGAAGAAACCGTTCCAGTTGGAGATGATTGTGCAGAATATTCAGGACTCTCTACGGAACCCAATATCACCAAGGGAGGTGGAAATGTGTGTGGAACTTTTGGCTCGACCGGACATTGCTGGACAATGGATTGAAGTCATTGCCGTGAATCAAATTAAGTCAGTGGTCCTAAAGTCTTGTGCCAGTGTTCACCCCAAGGAGATCAGTGCCAAGGTCAGCAATCTGGAATTGGAGTAGATGATGATTCTCCATATGAACCTTCTGATCTCTTTCTTTTTGGATGTTTTGTGTCATTGTTTGATACCACCGAAGGCATACCTGCGTGTCCAGCATTACTTTGCATTATGAGCGAGCATCATGTACATTAGCGCTGCATCTGCTACCTGCATACATATCCTCCAGAGTCTACTATAATAATGGATACATACATTCAGAGCAAAACTGTTAATTATGCTTTGTAGCGTCTGTTGTATTTGATTGGCCCAAAACCACTTCAACGCGAGACGCGCATTCACGTGACCGCGTTGCCACAAGTCACGTCTGCCGCAGCACTAGGTACTTTTATCAGTCGTCAACAGAACAGAGACGCTTTGAATTGACAAAGAGCTAGCTTCCCGACTGTCCTTTCATTGTATCGGACAACGCTAGCACAATGTCGTCTCGACCTGATCTCAAGGTAGTCACTCCGCGCTTTTATGTCAACCTATTATACGGCTAACAACTCCCAGGTCGACGATGAAGTCGGCTTCATACGCTTCTACCGTTCCCTCTCGGCCAACGGCAACGATGAGACAATCCGAGTCTTCGACCGCGGCGACTGGTACTCTGCACATGGCGCCGAGGCCGAATATATCGCTCGGACAGTCTACAAAACGACCTCCGTTCTCCGCAACCTGGGTCGTAGTGAGACGGGCGGGCTGCCGTCCGTGACCATGAGCGTGACCGTGTTCCGGAATTTCCTGCGGGAAGCACTCTTGAAGCTCAACAAACGGGTTGAAATCTGGGGCTCGAATGGGGCAGGCAGAGGTCACTGGAAGTTGATGAAACAAGCCAGTCCGGGAAACCTGCAGGACGTGGAAGAGGAGCTGGGCAGCGTGGGCGGGCTCGCCATGGAGTCGGCGCCGGTTATTCTGGCCGTGAAGATTTCCGCCAAGGCGTCAGAGGCGCGTGGTGTCGGGGTCTGCTTTGCGGATGCGAGTGTGCGGGAACTGGGTGTGAGCGAGTTCCTGGACAACGATATCTATTCGAACTTTGAGTCGTTGATTATTCAGCTTGGTGTCAAGGAGTGTCTGGTGCAGATGGATGCGAACAGGAAGGATGTGGAGCTGGGCAAGATCCGGGCTATCGCTGACAACTGTGGGATTGCTATCTCCGAGAGACCGGTGGCGGACTTTGGGGTAAAGGATATCGAGCAGGATCTCACTCGGCTGCTCAGGGACGAGCGCTCCGCGGCCACGTTGCCGCAGACGGAGCTGAAGCTCGCGATGGGCTCTGCGTCGGCCCTGATCAAGTATCTGGGTGTCATGTCCGACCCGAGCAATTTCGGGCAGTATCAGCTCTACCAGCATGATTTGTCGCAGTTTATGAAGTTGGATGCCTCTGCCCTTCGGGCGTTGAATCTCATGCCTGGTCCGCGGGACGGATCGAGGACCATGAGCTTGTTCGGTTTATTGAATCATTGCAAGACGCCTGTCGGTAGTCGCCTGCTGGCGCAATGGCTGAAGCAGCCTCTCATGGATCTCGCTGAAATTGAGAAGAGACAGCAGCTGGTTGAGGCTTTCGTTGAGAATACGGAGTTGAGACAAACGCTGCAGGAGGAGCATCTTCGCTCCATTCCGGATTTGTACAGGCTCGCGAAGCGGTTCCAGCGGAAGCAGGCCAACTTGGAAGATGTGGTACGAGTGTATCAGGTTGCGATTCGTCTGCCTGGCTTTGTCAGCTCGCTCGAGAATGTTATGGACGAGCAATACCAGACTCCATTGGAGACGGAGTACACCAGCAAACTGCGCAGCCACTCGGACAGCCTAGCCAAGTTGGAGGAAATGGTGGAGACTACGGTCGACCTGGCTGCGCTGGAGAACCACGAGTTCATCATCAAGCCAGAGTTTGATGACAGTCTGCGCATTATTCGGAAAAAGTTGGATAAGCTGCGACATGACATGGATGTGGAGCATCGCCGGGTGGCCAAGAACCTGGATCAGGAGGTAGACAAGAAGCTGTTTTTGGAAAACCACCGTGTGCATGGCTGGTGCTTCCGTCTGACTCGGAACGAGGCGGGCTGCATCAGAAACAAGAGAGAGTACCAGGAATGCTCGACCCAGAAGAACGGAGTGTACTTTACCACTTCCACAATGCAAGCTCTGCGCCGGGAGCACGATCAGCTCTCGTCTAATTACAACCGGACCCAGACAGGGTTGGTGAGCGAGGTGGTGAACGTGGCTGCGTCCTACTGTCCCGTGCTGGAACAGCTTGCTGGTGTTCTTGCCCATCTCGATGTCATTGTGAGCTTCGCCCATGCTGCTGTGCATGCTCCAACCGCATATGTCCGCCCCAAGATGCACCCGCGCGGCACGGGAAATACGATCCTCAAGGAGGCGCGGCATCCCTGCATGGAAATGCAGGACGACATCTCCTTCATCACCAACGACGTGTCCCTGATCCGTGATGAGTCCTCCTTCCTCATCATCACCGGTCCCAACATGGGCGGTAAATCGACCTACATCCGCCAAATCGGCGTTATTGCGCTCATGGCCCAGACGGGATGCTTCGTGCCCTGTTCCGAGGCTGAGTTGACAATCTTCGACTGCATTCTCGCCCGTGTCGGCGCAAGCGATTCGCAACTCAAGGGTGTCTCGACGTTCATGGCCGAGATGCTGGAGACGTCCAATATCCTCAAGTCTGCGACCTCAGAGTCCCTCATCATCATCGACGAGCTGGGCCGCGGCACCAGCACCTACGACGGCTTCGGCTTGGCTTGGGCTATCTCCGAGCACATTGTCACCGAGATCCGCTGCTTCGGGCTCTTCGCAACGCATTTCCACGAGCTCACAGCCCTCGCGGATCGATACCCTAAATCCGTCAAAAACCTGCACGTGGTGGCCTTCATCGGAGACGGCATTAATGAGAACTCAGGAGACGAAAAGTCCAAAAAGCAGCAGGTGACTCTGCTTTACCGCGTCGAGCCCGGTATCTGCGACCAATCCTTCGGTATCCACGTTGCGGAGCTGGTTCGGTTCCCGGAGAAGGTGGTCAATATGGCCCGGCAGAAAGCCGAGGAGCTCGAGGATTTTACGTCTGCAGAGGCCCAGGCGCAGCAGGCTAGCGTGTCTATGGACGGGTATTCTCAGGAAGAGGTGGAGGAGGGCAGCGCGCTGCTCAAGGGGATGCTGTTGAAGTGGAAGGCGGAGATTGAGTCGTCTGACAAAAAGTTG